GGTTATTAAAATCATCATCATGATTCTAAGTATTGCCATTGTTACTATTATAATCATTATTATTTTCATCATTATTATCATTATCATGATTATTATTAATATTACTTTTACCATTGTTGGCAATCATTATCATTATTAATATTATTAATATTAATGTTATTTTTATTATTATTATTGAAATCCGCGCGCGTGCGTGTGTGCATTCACACACACACATGCGCACACCGTACGTGTTTGCATGTACGTGTTAGCATGAATGCACAAGTGCACGCGCACGGATTTCATAATAATGATAATCATTATTATTGTCATTATTATTGTTACTCTTTTTACTGTTACTGTTATTATTCTTACTCTTTTTTATTAATTTTTATTATCCTTATTATTATTATCATTATTATTATTGTTGTTGTTGTTATCATTATTATTGTGATTATTATTAGTATTATTATGAGCATCATTATTGTCATTATTACTATTATTATTATTAGTATTATCATTATCATTATTACTATTATTATTATTATTATTATTATTATTATTATTATTATTATCATCAGTATTATTAGTCTCATTATCATTATTATTATTATTATCAAAGTATTATTATCACTGTTATCAGCATTATCATTACGACTATTATTACCATCACTATTGTTATTCCTATCAATGTTATTATTATTATTGTTCTTATTGTCATTCTTCTTCTTCTTCTTCTTATTATTATTATTATTATTATTATTATCATCATCATTATCATTATTATTATTATTATTATTATTATTATTATTATCATTATTATTATTATTATCATATTATTATTATTATTATTATTATTATTATTATTATTATTATTATTATTTTTATTTTTTATTATTATTTTTTTTATCATTATTATTATTATTGTTATTACTGCTATTATTATTATCAGTATTGTAATTATAGTCATGATGTTTTTTTTATCATTATCATTATCATTATTATTATCGTCATCATCATCAGTCATTAATGAAATAAAGAAAATAGTAAGAAAAAAATATCAATAAAGCAATAATAAACGATAATTGATAGTAACAACGAAAAAAGATAATGATAATGATGATGATAATAATGATGATAATAGTTATATTAATGATAATAATATTAAATGTAATAATAATATTAATAATAATAATAATGATAATAATAATAATAATAATAATAATAATAATAATGATAATAACAATAATAATAATAATGATTTATAACAATGGTACTACTACTAATAATAATATAACAATTATGATGATAATAATGATAGTGACAATGATAGTAATAATAATAATAATAATAATGATAATAATAATAATAACAATAATAATTATAATAATAACAATGATAATAATCATAATCATAATAATGATAATACTAAAAATGACAATGATGATAATAAGGATAATGCTAATACTAATGATGAGGAAGAGGAGGAGGAGGATTATAATACGATGATGATAATAATAATAATAATGAAGATACGTTATGAAAACCAATAAGAGTAATGATGATAATATGATAGTAATAACAATAATACTAATAATGATAAAACTAATAATAATGACAATAACAATAGCAACAATGATAATAGGGATAATGATAATGTAATGATGATAATAATAATAATAATAATAATAATAATAATAATAATAACAATAATTATAATAATAATAGTAATAATAAAAATAATAATGATAATAATAACAACAATAATAATAATAATAATAGATATAATAATAATAGTGATAATGATGATGATAATAACAATAGTAATGATAATGATAATAATAATGATAATGATGATATTGCTGCTGCTGATGGTGATGATTATAATACCAATACTAATAGTAATAATGTTAATGACAATAATGATAATGATAACAATAACATTAACAATAATGACATTTGCAATGATAATACTAGTAAAAACAACAACGATAATAATGATGATAATAATAATAAAAATAATGATAATGATGATTATGATATTAACAATAGTGATAATAATGATAACAACAACAACAACAACTACAATGATAATGATAATAGTAATAATGATATCAATAATAATAATAATAATAATAATAATAAAATAGTAATAATAATAATAATAATAGTAATAATAATAATAATAATGATAATAATAATAATGATAATAATAATGGTAATAATAACAACAATAATAATAAAATTATAATGATAGTAATAATAACAGCAAGAATAATAATAACAATAGTAGTAATAATAATAATAGCGATAATAATAATAATAGTAAAAAAATGATAATGATGATAATAACGCTAACTATAGTTATAATAATAATGATAATTATAATAGTAATGATAATAATAACAATGATTATAATAATAATAATAGGAATAATAGGAATAACGATAATAATAATAATGGTAATGATTATGATAATAATAACAATATTAATGATGATCAACAGCAACAACAACAATAG